CCTAATTCGTGGGAGTAATTAGGATCATCTATGCAACATGACATCATTTCCGTGTAGTGGCGGTCAAGAATATCCACTACCCCATATCCTCCCGTGGGTGTCGTAAAAGGCAACAAAGGGAAACAGGCAGGAGATGGGCAGCAGCATCTTCCTGATAATAGCCAAAATTTCAATTAAAAAACTGCGGTTGCCAACCCGCTCGCCAAGCGTGGCAACTATGGCAAATACCCCCCAATGAATAAAGCAACAAACAGACAGCCCCCAGTCCCCGGCGGCCCCGCTATTCCTGGCTACGGTGGCGACCGTGGTAACGGCGGGGCAGGGGGTGCTAAGAATATCCGGTGGAGGTTCGGTTGCCACCTTAGACGACTCGACCTGGCAACGTACAACGCACGCACCCTGAGGACTGACGAGAAGATCGTGGAGCTGGAAGAAGAGATAGACAAGTTGCGCTGGCATATTATAGGATTATCCGAAGTCCGAAGAGAGGGGGAGGACACGGTAATCCTCGAATCCGGCAACTTGCTCTATCACCGCGAGGTGTCGGATTTATCGTCCACAAGTCTCTCGTTAACAACTTTGTAAAGATTGGGAGTGTGTCGACGAAGGTTGCGTACCTTATACTCAGAATCACTAAACGGTATTCGCTGAAGGTCATACAGGTTTACGCACCAACCTCGGCACACCCCGATGAGGAGGTGGAGGAAATGTATGAGGATATCTCTAGAGCCATGCATTCCTCCAAAACCAAATATACGGTGTTAATGGGAGACTTCAATGCAAAACTAGACACAAGAGAGAACGGTGAGCTGAAAGTAGGGAAATTTGGAATAGGTCAACGGAAACCAAGGGGCCAGCAGCTGGCCGACTTCATGGAGAAAGAGGGACTCTTTATGATGAACTCTTTCTTCCAGAAGCGGCCCCACAGGAAGTGGACCTGGTCGAGCCCCGACGGTTCCACAAAAAATGAGATTGACTTCATTATGACGACCAGACGACAACTGTTTAGTGATGTCTCCGTGATCGCGAGGGTGAAAACTGGTAGCGATCACCGAATGGTTAGAGGCACACTGAACCTAAACGTTAAGTTGGAGAGGTCTCGTCTAATGAAGTCAACGCTCCGTCCCCCTCGTGCTCTGTTCCAAAGTCCCGAAACCTTTCAGCTCGAGTTACAAAACCGTTTTCAGTGCCTGGAAGACTGCAATGAAGTGGACGATATGAATGACAAGCTCGTGGAAACTGTCCATGCGGTCGGAGCTAAGTTCTGCAAGACCCGCCGTAGAAGAACACAAAAACTCTCCGATCACACTCTTAATCTCATGGCTGTTAGACGGAAGATGAAGCTACATTCTTCAACAGATTTGACAGCATACAGGCATCTGAACAGAAAGATCTCCAAATGCATGCGGCGGGACTTACGCAACTTCAATACAGCTCGTATTGAAGAAGCGATCGAGCGGAACCAAGGCTCCAAAGTCTTTGCCAGAGATCTGTCTGCCAGAAAGAGCCAACTGTCAAAGCTGAAGACGGAATGTGGCAGCATCGTTTCCGGGACACCTGAGATTTTGAGTGAGATTGAGAGGTTCTATGGGCAGCTGTACACATCATCGTTGGAGCCACACGCAAGTGTGACTAACGATCCAAGAGCGAGTCTCATCCGACACTATTCCGAAGATATCCCGGATGTCAGTCTGAGCGAGATAAGGATGGCTCTCCAGCACCTTAAAAACGGAAAGGCCCCAGGCGAGGATGGAATTACAGCGGAGCTTCTGAAAGCGTGTGGAAAACCGGTACTTGAAGTCCTGCAGAAGCTCTTTAATTCCGTCCTCCATGGTGGCATTACACCGGAGGCGTGGAGCAGAAGTGCGGTGGTCTTGTTCTTCAAGAAAGGTGACAACGCTCTCTTGAAGAACTACAGACCAATTTCCCTTCTGAGCCGCGTCTACGTGCTGTTTTCGAGAGTCATTACGAATCGTCTCGCGCGCAGACTGGACGACTTCCAGCCTCCTGAACCAATATCCAAAAAGCTGATTTCCGAAAGGGCTTTAGCACCATAGACCACATACATACCCTTCGGCAAATTGTACAGAAGTCCGAAGAGTACAATTTGCCACTATGTCTGGCATATGTGGACTATGAGAAAGCCTTTGATTCCGTCGAAATTTGGGCGGTGCTGCAGTCCCTTCAGCGGTGCCAAGTTGACTGTCGGTATGTCGAAGTGTTGAAGTGCTTGTACAGTAGGGCTACGATGGCTATCCGAGTACAGAACCAGAGTACGAAACCTATCCAATTGCAGAGAGGTGTAAGACAGGGTGACGTCATATCCCCGAAACTCTTCACCGCTGCATTGGAAGACGTTTTCAAGCTTTTGGACTGGACAGGATACGGTATCAACATCAATGGCGAGTACATCACTCACCTTCGATTTGCCGACGATATGGTCCTTATGGCAGAATCAATGGAGGACCTAAGCACCATGCTCAATGAACTCAATAGCGTCTCCCAACGAATAGGTCTTAGGATGAACATGGACAAAACAAAGATCATGTTCAATGTCCATGTCACACCTATGCCGGTAGTTGTTACAAGCACTAAGCTCGAAGTTGTTGACGAGTATGTTTACCTGGGACAAATAGTCCGACTAGGTAAGTCTAACTTCGACCGAGAGATCAATCGACGGATTCAACTCGGCTGGGCAGCGTTCGGGAAGCTACGACACATCTTCTCGTCAGACATACCTCAAAACCTTAAAACGAAATTGTACAACCAGTGCGTGTTGCCAGTGATGACTTACGGAACTGAGACGTGGTCCTTCACTGCTGGCCGTATGAGGAAGCTCAAGGTCGCTCAGCGAGCTACGGAGAGGGCTATGCTCGGAGTTTCTCTGCGTGATAAACTTAGGAATGAGGATATCCGCAGTAGAACCAGAGTAACCGACATAGCCCAACGGATTAGTAAGCTGAAGTGGCAGTGGGCCGGCCATATAGCTCGAAGAACCGACAACCGATGGGGAAGAAAGGTTCTCGAGTGGCAGCCTCGTACCGGTAGGCGAAGTGTAGGGCGTCCCCCCACGAGATGGAGTGACGACCTGGTAAGACATGCAGGAAGTCGATGGATGCAGGTGGCTCAGGACCGTGCTTTGTGGCATTCTTTGGGGGAGGCCTATGTTCAGCAGTGGACTTGTGAAGGGCTGTAATGATAATGATGATGATGATTTCGCGGATTCTTCTTTGTTCCCGTCATGGGCCACTATGTCCTATCTTTAGCGGATAGATGGTGTAAATTAAATGCCCAGATACTTAATAAATTAATATAATTCAAAAAAGGATGTGAATTACACAATGATCGTAGGTCAAGTGACATGAGTAGACAGATTTGTATGAAGAATCTTCAAGCGCCTGATGCGGGTGACGGCAATGTTCCCGCGATGGTGTTTTGGCGTAATATTTGCGCAGGCGTTAAGTCTGTACAATAACATTTCGTCAAGTCCAAGTTCCATACATTTAAAATTGCTGGAGCTAGTGGTAGGCTAGCACAAGGCTAGAAATACTGTAATTATAATTAAAGAAATACATACCCCCACCTATATATAACGCTATAAAGAGAAAACAAGATGTTTGACTGTGAACACCGCAGTAGTAGAGGACTACTACTGCGGTATTCACTCAGAGATTCATAAGCGCTCATCATAAATTACATTTTACTCAATCAAATCCAGTTCGATATGCACCACCACTAAAGAAATAGCTACATGCATTTTTAAGACGTAAGTATTGAATAGTCTCGTATTCGGTGGCAAATGAAAACATCGTAAGGAAATCTGCACATCTAAAAATTTAAAAATCTTTTCGAAAGCGAGTGTAATCTTCTACCAAGCAGTTGAACATACATAATCATACATATAGACTGCTAAGTACTTCACGTTTTATATAATTACAAAAAATATATTGGTCAAAAACTATTGTCTATCTTAGCGCGTTAATTTTATAGTACTCCAGGCGTGTAAATTGCATCAACGCGCAGAGTATCAGCGTGGCGGAATAACTGATTCATAAGCCACTCAGAAATTATTGGAGCCTTGTGCCCAACAGTGGAATGTAGAGAGATTATAAATTTAATTTACTTTCTTAGAAAAATAGGCTTATTAATTAATTATAAACAACAGAAAGAAAGAATCAAATACAAAAAAATATTTCCTTCAAAGTTTTTATTTTATCCTCCTTCTTCTCATCTATCATCAAACTTTCTATTTTATAGGAATATAAATAAAAATAAAAGTTTATTTCCTTAAAATGTAACATAATATATTAAACAATACATATATATAACATAATGTACTAGACCATAATAAACTAAATAACATTTTACAAGTCATGGCAAAACCTTTGTTATTCAATTCCTAAAACTATGGAACTATTATTGTAGATCTATTCAATCCGTTCCTTATTTCTTTGATATAGTTCCACCTTTACATTGCATGGCCTTACTTGTGTATGATGCTTTTTGTACTTAATTCCTCCTTCGCCTATTTCTGTCCTGACCGTGAAGTTTCGTAATAAATGAACTAACCCTGCTTTCACTTGCAATGTGGCATATCTTGTACCAACACAAAGTCTGTTGCCTTTACCAAATGGCATAAAAACATTGTCTGCTATTGTACTCCGATTTTCGCGAGAAAATCTCTCCAGTCTAAAAACTTCGGGATCTGGAAATATGTTAGGATCATGATGATATTCATAAAGAGGTGTAAATATTTTGGTACCTTTTTCAACTTTGATATTTCCAACTGGTAAAACGGTATCACGAACGCATTCTCTAGTTAAATATCCAACCGGGGGATGAATTCTCATTGACTCATTTAATGAAATTTCAAGATATTCTATTTCTTAAAGGACGTCGTATGTTATTGTGTTGTTGTTTTTCTTAAACGCGCAGTCGATTTCATCGTGAACACGTTTTAGAGCGTCAGGATTGCGTCCTAATTCTATCAATGTTGCAAGCTAAGCGGCTGCACTTGGTTCAACACCAGCAATGAAGAAAAAGAACGCTTGCGCCGCCAAAACTTCATCCGTTGGATATATTTCCAAGCCACTGTCAGGGTCTTTTAAAACACCATTATTTTGTATATTTACACATAGGTCTGCAAAGTAATGCCTCCTTATTTTTTCTTGTTCTCTTTGGCGGATAACCTTCTTTACAGCACCAATGAAAAATTCCTCGTGTTCTTTATATAATTGAATTCCCAAAAATTTGTATAAAGTTCTATTGAAACCAGATATCACAAACTTAATATTTTGTGAAACCGTAGCTGTCATAGCTTTTTGAGCCATTTTAAGGAAGGGTGAATTAAATATTGACTCAGTTCCAATTCCAAATACAGCAGCTCCAATAGCAGCACTACTAAATGTAGATAATGTATTAAACATCTCACCTTTTAATTTTTCTGGATTATTATTTAGATATTCAACGAAATCTTGAGCACTGCGATCTATTATGTAATACATACTCTTTAGTTTTGATGACGTAAAAAGGGGTGTCATACTCTGGCGCATCAATTTCCATTTATTCCCTTTAAAAAAAAGGATGTTATTGGCAAGTAGATCATTTTCATTTACATCAAAACCTCTGTGATAAAATGAGTTAAAATCTAAACTTAAGACATGCTGCACATTTGTTGGATCCTTAACATACAGAGCAGGATTTAATATTGAACCAACTCCAACTGCTGGCTCATTGGGATACTTTTTGTAAATGTCTATAAATATTTCAAATAACGCCCGTTTTGTTGTAATGAATATACCCAAAGGACCAATGACTTTACCTTTTGTATAAAACTTCACACCACGTTTTTTCCAGTAAAATTCATTATATAACCTTCTTAAATAATAAATTGCACAAAGAGCTCCGAATAAAATTAACAACTTGAAAATCATTTTTGATTATTTAAAAAACACCAACACTTCAGTGCACAATGAAGACTAATACGCCGAGCGAGTGACTCAACCCATTATATATGTATATTTTTTCGCCGTCATGAGTTTTTCAGCATCATACTTGTTATCACTTTTATTAAGGTGTTTACACACCGAATGGAGTTTTATGATAATATATTATAATTATCTGTAAAAACTGTGTATTGTTCATTTTAATGTGAAAAGATCATTTAGCTTAGAAATTAGAAATGTAAGGAATATTTGCCATGTTTTATTCCTAGTGCCAATCTTGACTTGATGCATTCTGCAGAAAGAACAATTTTAGCGACTTATCCATTAAATAAAACTATTTTTTACGTTTCGGGTGCTTTACTGCACCCGTGGTCACCCGTGGTCGTAGTTAGCCCGGCTACCTTCAGGTTTTGTATATTAATTTTTGGTACGATCTACGCAGACTTATCCATGCTGAAACAATCAACAGCTTATGTACGTACCATTACAGCTAAGCACAGGCCTCTTCTCATTTCTTAGAGGGTTATAGAGTGATTACTCCGCTTCGCCAGTCAAACTTGTTTTCGTATCGCTTCACCGCAGATTTAAAAGACAACTTAATACAGTGCCGGAGCACTTACTACGGGGCATCGTTCTCATCGGAATCACTCGTATGTTATGCATTATTAACCGCCATTACGGATACATCGATATGAGAGGTCACATCGACTTTTTACACTTTCCCTTGTACACTAGCTTGCATTAATCACCGGAATTAAGTATTCCGGACTGAGAAGGATGTGTGATGTAGTAGCACTCTTATCCCGTCACAACGTGAATGGACCGAATAACAAAGCCATCACTACATTGTTATCGTCATCAACATCATCAACATCTCAACTCTTCTATTATTTTGTGTAACAAAAATATTATAATTTTTTTTCCAATCAGAGGGGGGCGATGTTGAATAGGAATAAAACAAGCATTGCGTGAGGTATTAACGGATTTTTTTAAACTCCATGAATGCCAATAACTATGAAATATAACATCGTTTACATGTCTTCTCGCTGTGAATCGGATTCCTGAGGTCCGATTTTCGATGAATCCGTCGTATAAATCTGGCTGAATTTTAGCGATGGCCTGGGTTATGTAGAATTTGAAGACATCAGTCGATTGAGGCTTATTGGCATGGACCTGAAATTTCAGAATACCCCCCAAAAAAGTCCGACGGGGTCAAATTACACGATCATGGTGTCCAATTCACGTTATCTCTGAGAGAGATAACCCTACCCTCAAATAGTTTATGCAGAATTTCCATTTTGGCGATCGCTGTATGGCATATAGCGTAGCCCTGCTGGAACTACAGATCGTCCACGTCCAAACTGTATAGTGTGGGTCAAAAGAAATTGGTATATCATAGATCTGTAGTGCTCGCCGTTTACAGTTATGGCTTCACCGGTCATTTTCGAAAACGTACGTATCAAAGATATATGATCAATGATCAATGGCCCAAAATCCGCACCGAACATTAACTTTTTATGAATGTATTGTAATATCGTGAATCTTATGTGGATTGGATTTGCCTTATATACGGCAGTATTGCTTTTTAACGTAGCCATTCATCCAAAAATGCGTCTTATCACTAAATATGATTTTGGGCAGAAATTTGGGTCTTTTTACAAATGCTCTGAAGCCCAATTAGCGAAGAAACAGCGTTGTTTGTGGTCATTAACTTTAAATTTAAGGGTTAGTTGGATTTTGTATGGGTGCAGGTTCAGGTTCCGACGCAAAATGCGCCAAGTTAAGATATATGAACGGTCGAATTCTTGTGCACGTCGTGGAATTGAATGCCTCGGGTTTTCTTGAACACCTTCACGGATAACTGTTATTCTCGGCTGATTGACGTACTGGTGTTAACTGATTATTTACCAAACCGGTCGTTTCGAAATTGTCTAACAGATGTTGCAGAATCAACTATGGTGGGCCACCACATCTGCTGTAAACTGGGCGTAACGCGCGCAACGTTTGAACTAACGAGCACTCATATTGATAATAAAGTTTTATAGTGTGGACGAATTGCTCAATCGTGTAACTTGCCATGATGAGTTAGCATCAGTAATGAAATAATAAACAATAGATTTGACAGATGTTCCAAAAACAACATGGCCGCCACAGCCTGTCAACATCGACCTGTCCCTATTGGCAAACCCTTTATTTTGATTTTTAGTTAAGCTTGAAATAAACAATTTCATTAAAAAGGCAAAGAGTGCCTTATTTGAATATCGTGTAAAATAAAGGTCTCTGCACTTTTATTTAAAGACTTCTTCTTCTACTTCATCAGCCGAATTTCGCTGCTGAACATGGACCTCTCTTATCGTAAGGAAGATTTGTTTAATAGTCACGGTTGGCAAGCGGAATGACGATCGCAGTGCCAGATATGTCACATATTTTTCTCTGATTCCTGTTGCCGGTCAAGATATTTCATAACTGGCTTAACATGATTGATGTGTGATTGTGACACGATCGAAGCCATTGCGGTGATGAATTCTCTTTTAAAAGAACAAATTTTAGTATTTAACATCGTTTTCCACTTAAAAAAGTATAAGTACTTTTTTATGTTGGCCCATTTAGGGGCGTCCTACGGATTAATACCTGTAAATAATTTAAAAAATATTGTAAATATTTAAGCAATAAAAATTTTTAGACTTCGTAGAACCATGTTGCAGCTATATTATGGTTGTAGCACGAATGGGTCGGCTCTGCCGGGGAAGGACCACGCTCTCACAGAATACCAGCATAAAATAGCAGCTTAATGCTGCTGTGTTTCGTATGGTGAGTGTAGAGAACCGGAGACCCATTTTACTGGAAACGGGGCATTCTAACTTAGTCTTCACGGGTGACAACGCATCTGCATTTTGGTTCGTAATCGAAGATAGATGTAGATGTCTATGGGTCACACCAACCACTTACTATCAGGTGGACCGTGTGCTCGTTTGTCACCCTTATCCTATAAAACAAAATTAAACAGGTTTGCTTAACAATTGTAAGCTGCAGTAAGAAAAATCGAAAATCTAATTGTTAAATTTTTTTTAAAATGTTTTCCTTTTTAAGAGGTAACTTTAAAAAAAATATAGTGTGGTTTTAATGTCAATTCAAGTTTTTGGATTTTTCTGGGACCAGATACATTTCGGAACGTTTACCTGAACGCTCTCCAAAGTAGGATAAATCCGAAGAAGCCCGTATGCATGGTGACCCTAGCATATGCAAATGGTGAAATAAATTATGATTAAAATTATAAAAATTCACGATGAATCGCTACTTTTGTTAACTTGTTATCATTGGACGAATCATTATTAGATAACATGTTTAAGCTCTGAATAAGTAGATAATACGATTTTAATGTAATTGCGTACCTCGCTCGCGATAGCAACTCGGCTTCACTTGCGATGAACGGTCATGATTCCTCCAAATTAATCGATTGTATTTTCTACCAACTTAAAAAAGGAGACGGTATTCAATTCGACTGTATGTTTTTTTTTAATGTGTGTTACCTCAAAACTTTTTCTGGGTGAACCAATTTCAATGATTCTTTTTAATTTGAAAGCTGGCGCTACTCATGTAGTCCCATATAAATTTGATCAAGGTCTAACCAATAGTTTATGAGTTATACTTAATAATTTATGTTGAAGTCGGTTATACAAAATTTTTAATTTTAAATTATAAGGAGTTTTTAAAAACTTTTCTAGTTTAGTTCCTATTAGTCTCTACTCAGTTATAATATAATTAATTTATTGTTCTATCGATTGACCTCAATATATTACGCCTAGAAAAATGAAAATGAAATTTTATCAGCAGAGACCTCAGTTGGTTTGTGATCTTTGTTACTTCAATTACAGTTGTCTGATACAAATAATAAATTAAACTATCTTACATTATGTTTCCATCCATCCTTCGGATGATCCCTTTATAAATTTGTTAGCTAGTTCCTTATCATTTCAGAAACATTAACTCTTTTAACTTTCGTTCTTTTCATATTGTCCCATATAAATTTGATCAAGGTCTGACCAATAATTTTTGATTGAAAATTTTTGACTGAAACCACTTAGTAATAATCGAAATATGTAATAACAGCAGTGAATTTATAGTATTAGTGATTTATAACAAGCACTAATCAATTCTTCATTCTGCGAATCCTTTTAGCTAAACTTGCTAACATTTCCTTATTTTAATTTTCTTTGCCGTACGAAAATGTATATGTTTTAATAAATGAATACTACTAATAATAATAATACTCCAGGCACCAACTACCGATGGGGAAGAAAGGTTCTCGAGTGGCAGCTTCGTACCTGTAGGCGAAGTATAGGGCAGCCCCCCACTAGATGGATGGACGACCTGGTAAGATAGGCAGGAAGTCGTTGAATGCAGTTAGCTCAGGACCGTGCTTTGTGACAGACATTGGGGGGTGGCCTATGTTCATCAGTGGATTTGTAAAGAGCTGTAATGATGATTATAATATATGAATACCTTTTAATAGCTACCCACATAAATTGATTATAACGTTTTTAATAAGTACCTAAATAATGTATTTGTAAGTAAATAAAAAGAATCCTTTAATGAATAAATAACAATAAAATAACTAACAACTGCCAAGAACCTAGGCGTTATTTTCGACAGCAATCTGACTTGGGACGCACATATTACGGATGTAAATATGAAAATATTTCATGCCTTTCATTCTATAAAACGTCTTCAAAGTATTCTACCCTTGTCTACTAAGATATCTATAGTCCAGACTCTTATCTTACCAACTTTATATTACGCTGATGTCTGTTATCTGGATGCTACAGAGGAGCAAATTAATAAACTTGAGCGCTTGCAAAAATTATATATTCGACACCTTTTTGGCTTAAAGAAGTTCGATCACGTTTCTGTTTATCGCAAGTAGCTTAAATGGCTCCCAATCTCTGTCTTCTTTTCAATATTCTACATAACCCTACTATTCCGCTATA